TCATTTATTAAACCTTTTAAGTGCCAGAGATATGACCATCACATTGCAAAACATTGTGAATGGCACACTTCTGCCACAGAAAGGTTTAAAACATCATTTTAAATTATTTATTAGTATCAATAAATGTTTATTATGTTTAAGTACGCACAAAACTGCTTAGTATAAGAAGATTCATTTACTCGTTACACAGTAATCCTGTTTGGCTACAATAAAGCATGCACGTTGTCTGCATAGAAAAATCCAATCTAAAAAAAGAAGACGTGGAGATAAATAACAAGACAATAGGGACCTGCACCTGGAAACCAACATCCTGCTTCTATAGACACACGCGGTGCTGGAACTGGACGACACATTTGAGCAGACAAAACAGTGCTTCTACCAGTAGCTACATTTTCAGTAAATTGCTTCTACCAGTAGCCACATTTTCAGCAGACACTCACAATGCTGGGATAGAAACGAAGTCTTGTTATTACACAAATTCCCTTATAGACCATTATAATTTTATTATTTATATAGCGCCAGCAAATTCCATAGCACTGTACAATGGGTGGACTAACAGACACGTAATTGTCACCAGACAAATGTACGGACAGAAACAGAGGGATTGAGGGCCCTGCTCCATGAGCTTGCAGGCTAGAGGGAGTGGGGTATGGTGACACAAAAGGTATAAGTAGGGGTAATGAAAAAGGTTGCTAGAAAAGTAATCACTGAAAACTTAGGTTATTTTTGATAGTTGCAGGAGAGGAGTCATGGTGCGGAGGGGGGATGATTGAGTAACTGTTCAGTTCTTTGTATGGGCAGAAAACACTTTATTTTAATAACAAGTTTTGTCAAAACAATTATTGTTGAATGCAGTAAATATATTATTATCAATGGACCAACACATGTGGACACTTGACCATCACACCTACATGAACTTGTAGGATATTCCAATCCAAAACCAATTTGCAGCTAGAACAGGAAGGCAAGCTACAAAGTTGGGAATTGTGTCTGTGAGAATTTGTGCCTATTCAACCAAAAGAGTATTTGTGAGGTCAGTCACAAATGTTGGACAAGAATTTCTGGCTTGCAGTAAGCTTCTCAATTCAACTTGAGTTCTTCACATCAAACTCGTCAAACTATGTCTTTATGGACCTTTGGGCAGAAAAAAGGACCTTCCCCAAGCAGTTGTCAAAGATGGAAGTACCCAACTGTCTAAAATGACTTTGGGTCCTGTTACATTAGGATGACCCTTCTTTGTAAGTAATGGACCAAACCAAAACCCTACAGAACACCCAGTTACCCTTCTTCAAACATACTTTACACTACACACCATGCATTCCAGTAAGTGACAATTTCCATATTCTGCAGCCTCGAAGTACAACTAATCTCCCCTAACAAGACACAAAGTGGAACTCAGAGCAGTCCATTAACTGACTTCTGTACAGCAGTACTGAGAGGATGTGATTTCCTATCCCTTCCTCCAATCAATTTATGGTAGACATGAAAGGCAGAAGAATTGTCCCACACTGCTTATAGCCAGTGTCCGCGTCTCCACATGATATTTTCCACCAATGTGGAGACATTGAGTTCCAGCACTGTGTGTCACATTTACATACCCCATAGAGATGCTTGCGCTCCAGAATAAGCATTCCAGCCATGTTGGTGTATGTTAGTAAAATGACAAAGAGGAGGCACAATAACAGTTTGAAATAAAAAAATTGAAATAAAAATAGAAAAATTGAATAGCAAAATATATTATAAAGATAAATACATATACAAATTAGGAATAAAATATACATTTGGGGGAAAAAAGAAATGAAAATTGAATAGCAAATAAAAAAAATGTAAATTAAAGTATTAGAGAATAAAAAACTGGATGAGAATATAGCAGAAACAAAAAAAAAATCAAAGTGATAGAAAAGATAAAGATACGTTTTTCTTCTGTATCAGAAGTAAGATAGCCAGAAATTAGGCTAACATCATTATAGAACAAATGAGATACACCAGAACAAATTGGACAAAACCACTAGGAAAGATCTCAGAATACCAACAGATGGTTCAACCCCATGTATAAAAGAAAGGATTCTCTGAATCACAGTCTTAAATTGGATCAAAGGAAGAGAGAGTTCTATAATAAGAGGAAAGCACATTCAGATAGAGAAATCCAATACAGGCTAGATCACATCTTTTAATTGCAGAGATCCCTACTGGTCCACTTTTTACTCACAACTTCCTGCCTTGACCTGAAGAAAATCCTTTTTTAGACAAAGGGCTCATTACACTTATGCTCATTACATTGAGCATATGATTCTATCTACACATTGTGCTAGCAGTTTTGCTAGCTAGACGAGGAGAAAAACCAGAAGTTGGTTGTTACATGAAGACAAACACCCACAAAGCATGAAGACGGTGAGTAAATGTACCTATTTTACATTGAGTACACCATGAATCTTTGTGATATATGGTGTATGCAATGTATATGGGAGTGATTTCTGGTAAGTCAACAGGTTCACTTTAACACACTACCAAGAATACCCAGAATAGATCTCAGATATGCACCATTGGGGACGTGGAATTCCCCAGGCAAGAGACAAATAGCGAGTGCAGAAGAACCGACTAACTGAGGTTGGAGGAAAGAGGGGTTTACAATATATCAGGAATTACCCTGTCAATGGATGAGTTGAGGATTTTACAGAAAGGTTTAAAATGTGCTCCCTTATAAGAACCAAACCTCTTCCAATTATTCATGAATATTCAGACATTTTCATGGAAAATTAATTTAAAGATTTTTTTTATTAAGACAAATTACAATTTATCAAAAGAAGAAATACTTAATATATTTAAACATATCTCCAACAAATATAAATAGTCAGGTGGACACATTTTTGAAAACCTTAACCCTAATGTTAAATAAAATGAGGAATTGGAACTTCTATTAAAAAAATAGCTAAAACCATGGCATAATTTCTGATAGCATTTTTATTTCTAAAATTCCTAGTCATAGAACACCCACATATACCAACTTTTATTTCCTCCCCAAGGTTCACAAGTCAGTTGATTGCCCACCCAGCAGAAACATTATTAGCTGGATAGACCCCTTTACATCTAAATTATCAGAATTCATAGATTTCTGTTTAGAAAAATTTGCTCAAGGTGACAATTCCTATTTCGAGGATATCAAAGAAATTAGACTGTCTAGTGTGGAGAGAGAATTATATGGGGGCCACTTATGATGTGACCTCACTGAACAATGTTATAGAGCCTTTCTTAGGGCTGGAGGTGGTGGAGAATAATCTGAGGTTGGACAGTAAAATTGAACAGGGGTTTGGCTAATATCTAATGGAAACCAGTGCCTTTATGCTTTCTCTTAATTCTTTCTCCTTTATTGGGGATTTTTCTTACAACTGAAGGGTACAGCCATGGGCACCAAGCTTGCTCCTCGCTATGTGAATATCTTCATTGATTTTGGGAAAAGAAACACACAATCCATATGACCAAACTTGGTGCTCTGTGTCTGGATATAGACAATGTTTGGGGTTCTTGGCGAGGCCCCAAACCCTTGATTAAATAGTTTCATAACCATGTTAACAATAATCCTCTCTCTTTGATTTTCACTACGGAATATGATAAACACAAAATATGTTTTTTTGAGAAGTCCTTTAAGACTAAAACTTTTTTTAAGTCTGCAGATGATCAATGAATTCATTGATAGCGATAGTGGACCCAAAAATGGCTTGCCAGTATCCCACAAAGACAATTCACAGACTATGTCAAAATTGTACAGATAAAATTTCTTATTTAGAACAGGCTTATTTCTTAAGAAGCAGATTTTTATAAAAAGGGTATTAAAGAAAATTAGATTTAGAGATTCAGTTCACAGAAGGAAAAAAGAACATCTTTATTAATAAAACAATAATAAAAAGCATGAAACAGAATGAAAACTTTCCGACTTGAACAGTCTGAAAGCCACATCTAACATGTGTGTTGACATAGGCCACAAGATAATCAACTGGTTATGGTGTTTAAAGGATACTCCTAACACCATGACCATTTCAGTTATATGAAGTTACATTTAGTTTAATTACACATTTTAATAATAAAGTTACACATAAAAATAGTGTTTAAGAAATCCTAGTCCATTCTTCCGGAGGATGAAGTTTTATATTCCTATTTACCTATGGAACCCATTGTCATTTATAAGAATGTTCTGAGTTTGGAGAACCCAGTTGGCTCCTAGCCTGTTCAAATCCAAATAGAACCATAATACTGAAAGGGCTGTGAGTTTAAAGAAATGCTGAAGATGTAAAGCATGTCAGTATCTCCCAACTCCTTTAAACCATTTTAAAAGTTCTCACATAGGAGAAAGTTTAAAAATTAAAGACTCGAGGGCAGATAGTGACAACCAGGGGCACACAACCATGCCACACAAGCGACAAATTTGGTATACAGCACCTGCCCTTCCCACGAGGTCTACACGCGTTGTCGGCGTGAGGGAGACAGACGCTCACCCGCTGACATCCACGGCTGACAAGCGGAGAACAGACCCTCGTTCCCCCCCTCTGGACCGGTGGGGGTTATCCCGGTCTATCCTCGGGAGACCCTGGCACGACCCGGTGAGAAATCTGAGGAGACGCAGGGGCCTGCAAAAAGCGGTGGCACTACACCTAAAATGGCGGAGGCAGCATGCTCACCCAATACTCACAGCGAGCTGACAGACATAGAGCACCGGCTGGACAGGGCCTTCCAGACTTTATGGGACAAGCTGGAAGCCCTTATGCTCCCGGATGAACACTAAGGCAGTGCCTGTCACCAAACCAAGTACTCACCCAAGCAAGATCAAACGGGTGCAGGCACGGACACCTTGAGCACAGAGCCGCTCAGAAGGTCGGAAGCAGCGAGACACTCACCAGCGGCAGGAGACCGAAGACGTGTCAGGCGGCAATAGGAACCGGCAAGTAATCGTGCGGACGCACATCAGTCCGACCTCCCACCAACCTAACAGAGAGGGCTTGTCTCCAATGATTATGGCAGAAGTGCTGGAGGAATGGGAGGCCGCACAGCGAGTACCCCTGCCTGCGACCATTAACTTTGCCGCCAAACACAGCTCACTTACAGCGGAGCCGACCATACACGTACATTCTGCAGTGCGGCAGCCCCGAAGAGGAAATAAAGGAGACACCCAGCAACAAGCCATACTACCTCTCACCAACCTCCAGAGGCACAAATGTGGCAGGCCTACCCTGATGGGGCTACAGCCCAAGGGTCACTAACAAGAGGCTCACAAAGCCACCGTGGAGGACACTATCATACCAGCAGCTGGCATGGGCTAAGTGTATCTCAAGTTCTTTCAGCTAACTGTCCTCTTCGTGCTGATCTATTTACTATGGGACAGCCTAGCATGGTTAATGATGCCAGTGTTTTAATGTTTTTGGTTCTGCTTAATGGGTACCGTTAGTATGCCTTCACGCTGTAATGTACACAGGACTTAACTGGCTGAGCGCCAAGTGCAAACACTACACCCTCTCATTTGATTGAATAAGTTCTTTTAACTTGCCTAACAAGTTGCAGTGCCGGCTCCCCCCACACATTATGATTATAATACTACGTTTTATTAGCATGTCTTACTACACATCCCTATCAAGCTTAATCCTTACAAGACATAACCCAGCACCACAATGACCGACACAGCTGGCACATCTAGCTAGCATACGGTACACAGGTCTCATTGGCCGTGATAGCCTAACGGTTCAGACACTAGACATCACAGACCAGTTAAACATCACCCTGTTTATAATATAACTCTGTGCATCATTATTTCATGTTCATGTTTATTTTCTATGCCTACCTTTGCTCTTGAATCTTTTATCGAAGGGAAAAAAACAAAGTGCAACGCATCTCGTACCTGTCACCAAAATGTTAGCAATTGCTTACGACTGCAATATCTTTGGGAAATATTGTCATATGTACCAATGCTATCCGCTATGTAATATCTCCTAGCTCATACAAGCATAGTACAACTTTTATGTGTATTACTTTAACTGGCTAATGCTGCACTGCAAAACGCGTTTATACATTTACACATTAGGACTACGACAGCATAGCAAACTTGGTACTGACAAAATAGCCGTTACTCTTCTTCAATGTACTTTAGTTTATCTTACTTCATTACCTAGCTGTTTAGTTAAGCATGTGTTCACGCTTATTACATTTAAAAATGTGCACTGTTTATCCATGCCATACAACTGTCTTTTTATGATTATGGAAACTCTGGCATACGCTGGTGTGGCATTGCTGGCGTAACTGTAATTTGTCTAATCTATGCACGACAAAATAAAGAATAAAAAAAATAAAAAATTAAAGACCCTATTAGTTGTGTCCGCATCCGTAAATTTACCTTCTTACCTGCGGATGTGGTAGACAATAGACATGTGCAAATCGTTTCATTCCGAATGCAAATTTTGAAAATTAGGATATTCAGATGCTTCCAAATGTCGAAGTGCCGAATTTTTCGAAGTGGTGAATTCCGGAATGCCGAACTGAATTGCCGAAGTTCCGAATTTCAGAAGTGCTGAAGTACTTCGGATTTCTGAAAAGTGGCAAAACAGGAGAAGGTTGGGCTTAGGGTTTGGGGTAGGGTTAGGGGTTGGGGTAGGTTTAGAGTTAGGGTAGGGTTAGTGGTTAGGTTTAGGGGTAGGATTAAAGGTTGGGGTAGGGGTTGGGGTAGGGTTAGGGGTTAGGTGTAGGGTTAGGTTTAGAGGTAGGGTTAAGGGTTGGGGTAGGGTTAAGGGTAACCCTACCCCTAACCCTACCCCTAACTCTATCCCTAACCCTATTCCTAACCCTACTCCTAAACCAACCCTAACCCTACCCTTAATAGTGGCCGTAACTCTACCCTAACCCTACCTCTACCCCTAACCCTACTTCTAACCCTAAACTAACCCTACCCCTAACCCTACACTTACCTGAAGTTCTGAAATGCAGAAGTTCCGAAGTGCTGAAGTCCCGAATTTCGGAATGCCGAACTGAACCGAATATTTTTCCCATGCACATCCCTAGTAGACAAACTGTAGTTAGAACAAGCAGGAAATATATGAGACAGTGAAAGGAAAGGCAAGATTGGAGGCAAATATTATCTCATACCTCTCGACCTAAGCCTTCCAAGTACAGAAGCAACCCGTAAATAGATAATGGATAAGAAAATAAAACATAACCTTTAATGAACAAATATAAAAACTAAAGTCTAGTGATAAAATAATGGATATAATTGCTACAAGCAAGGAGAGGAGAGGGGTATAAAGTGTACTACCTAGGAGCAAGGAGGGGAATACATAAGTAGTCTGAACACATACCAAAATCCAGTGAGGTGCCTACAAATGCACCCTTACATATTGACATCCAACACCCCAAACAGTCTCCGATCCTCAGCTCCCAACAGGGGAATCTAAGAGAGTCAGACTCCTGTTCCTCGCCTAAATAGCTAGCCGTTAGTAACCAATAGCTAGATATCGCTGGCCAATACTAGTTTAATAAAGCAATGTAGCTGGATTGAATCCATTAAAGGACCACTATAGGCACCCAGACCACTTCAGCTCAATGGTCCATCTAGGTCCATCTAGGGTTAACCCTGCAGCTGTAAACACTGAAACTGCTATGTTTACATTAGGGTTAATCCAGCCTCTAGTGGCTGTCTCATTGACAGCTGCTAGAGGAGCTTCCACGCTTCTCACTGTGATTTTCACAGTGAGAAGATGCCGCCGTCCAAAGGAAAGCATTGAGAAATGCTTTTCCTATGGACTAATTGAATGCGCGTGCGGCTCTCGACGCGCATGTGCATTTGGCGGAGGGAGGAGAGTCCACAACACTGAGGGAGCCCGGCGCTGGAGAAAGGTAAGCGTTTAACCCCTTAACCCCTCTTAAGCCCGGCGGGAGGAAGGCCATGAAGGTGAGGGGGACCTATTAACACTGTAGTGCCAGGAAAACAAATTTTGTCCCTTAAGTTAAAATAATAGCGTGGTGGCTAATCCTAGAGATATAAATATATTCTGCTGCAGCACCATCCTGTATCTAATAAAGCCACCCACTGCTCTAATCTGTCCCGACACGCGCTTCTCTGCATACCGGAACTCCCTGAATTGCGCGACACACTCGAACAACTGTACACCACTCTGGTAGAGATCTTCAATGGCCTGCTGAAACAAGACACATCCACAAAGATCATATTTGTCTGCGCCCATCGGGCCCTGCGGCCTAGAGGATCCCTCTGCGGGACGTGATATGCTGCTTGGAATCGTTCGCAGAACGGGAGAGTATCCTGCTGGAAGTCAGGGACACCGGCACCCTCCGTCACCTACAGACCGAGCTGCAGTTGTTTCCGGACCTTTCCCAGGCCATGCTATACTATCGCCGGATGTTAAGGCCCCTCACACAGGCTCCATTACCGGTGGCTGTTCCCAACGGGCATCTCTGTGAACGCTCCGGAGGACCCGGTAGTACTCCGATCTCATGCCGATCTGGTACCCTGATCTCCCCCCTGCCTCTCAACATGAAGTGGCCAGACCCTGCTGAATTCTATTTGCCAATAGACTGGACGAACTGTAGCCCTACCTCAGAGGGACAGGAGACCGTGCCAGATGACCGCCTGGGCCATGGGAGCTATGGCCTGAAAGCCTTGAGTACATAAGTGGACTGATGGCCTACTAGGTCTCCCTACCTGCCCCCACGTTGGTCCCTTGCACCCTTCACCCCCCGGAAGCACAGCAACCATGATCACCTTCGCCTTTGTACCTGCGTGTGCTGCGGGTGTGCACGCTTCCCCTGATCCCCCACTCACACCCTGGACGGCGGCCTAGACACAGCTCCAGACAGCCACGGCCTGCGTCACAGCACTCTCCCCAACTGACCTGCTGCACTGGTGGACTGGGCCTATGAAGCACGGAGTTCCTGCTGCCGGTTCCCCTCACTACCCTTCTTTCCCCCGTCCCACTTCGTGTCTCACCGTTCTCCTGCTCTCTCGGCCGCTTAGTAACCGCTAGCTCCATACCACTCCTCCCCCTCTTTCCAATGCCCTTCTCCTCTCCTTCCAACCCACCTTTTTCCCCCCATCACCCTCCCCCCCTTTCAACCACCTAGCATTCAGCCCATCTTTTTTCCTGGACGCTTTGGAGACTTGTGTGTTCCCTTCCCCCCCTCCCCTGCTACCTGTTTTTATTACTACAGCATGTGCTGGAGACAGGGGCATCTCTGAGATGTTGTTTACCTTTAGCACACCCTGTGGTGTACCTCTCTTCTTATAACTCCCGACTACGCGTACCTTAGCTAGGCCCCCCCAACAGCTCTGGGTCAGCCATGCCGGGCCCTACATCCTCCTTTTTGCCAACAGATCTGAGGCTGATGTCCCTCAATGCCAATGCGTTGAATACACCAGGGAAATGCTCACTTGGGTTCTGGGACTTTAAGGCTCAGAAGGCCCACATGGTGTATGTCCAAGAAACACAATTTAGGGAGGGCTCCACCCTGAAACTGACCAACCACATTTACTTGATGGGCTTTAATGGGAATAACCCTAATGACAAATCTAGGGGAACTGCTATCCTCATTCACAAGTCAATCCCATATCTATATGGCGCAACCTTGGTGGGGCTGGAGGGTCGATATGCTTTCATAAAGGGGGAGATACTAGGCCAGAAATACACTTTTGCCAATATCTATGCGCCTAACTCACAACAAGGCAGGTTTTTGAGGCCCACCCTGAAGACCTTAATGGCCTTCATGGAGGGCTATCTGATATTGGGGGCGATTTTAATATAGCCTTACACCCGAAAGTACATACCTCGACAGGCACATCGGCTATCTCTGACCACACTTTACGGATGATTAGAAACATACTCCTCACTCACCACTTAAGTGACTGCTGGCAAGCTATGCATCACGATGGTAGGGACTACTCACACTACTCTGTTCCCCATGCTAGATATTCTCGTATAGATTACTTCTTTGTCCCCTACTACTACCTACATACTGTTACCCAGGCCACCCTCGGTGTGACCACTTGGTCTGACCATGTCCCCCTCACGCTAAGTCTGACCAGTCCACTTTCTAAACCCAAGATGGGTAACTGGAGACTAAACAAGACCCTTCTTAGTGACCCACTAGTCCTGTCGGACGCAAACAAAACACTGACACTATTTTGCGGAGAACACAACACCCAAGATATCTGCCCCGACCATTTGGGAAGCTCACAAGTGCATAGTTAGGGGTTTCTTTATGGCCAGGGGTGCCCAGATAAAAAATGGGAGAGGAAAGAATGAGTGGGACAGCCACAGAGGATTTT